TTTCGTGGAAGAAGAGCAGCAGGGGGGCGCAGATGAGCCCTAAAGGTAGGAAAAGCCCTTCCGGAAAACCCGAGCAAGGAGCTCCTCTCTCTAGGAAGGGAAATCTCAGCCTAAATCTTTGCTTGAAAGGGATGGAGGGGAGCCAGGGAGACCCACTGCACGCCAGCCATCCCTGCAGAAGGGAAATGCCAGCAGCAAAGCTGAGCCAAACACGCAGCCCAGATCCTCGAAAGAGACCCTGGCAAGGCAGGGGAAAGGCTGAGCTGCCTCAGAGGAAAAGCTCTGGGTCAGGCACAGAGGGAAGGCCTGGCCTTCCAGGGGGAAGGGAATACCTCTCTCATCACCTCCCGTGCTGTCTGGGCACCAAGCTCTTCCCAGGAGGGAGAAGCACAGGTCTCGTGGGACAGGACAGCAGGCAGCAGGTCCCTATGCATGAGAAAGACCAACCCTTTATCTAAGGGAGGACAAGCGGACACCAGACACGTTGGCACTGAGGAGGATGCAGCCACAGCTTTAAAAGAGCGACCAACGATGCCAATGGATCAAAGGGAGGAGACCTGCCTGCGACATCGATCCCCCCATCGGTCCAGCTCTGCTCTGGGGGCTGTGTGTTCAGCTGCAGACGGAGCAGAGGGCTCGCTGCAGCGCATCCTTCAAACCCAGCCTCCAGTCTCCATTTCAGGTGGCCACAAACCCTAAGGCAGGACCCTGATTACTCCGAGAGCCAACCTGCCAGCTGGACTCCGCAGGTGGATGAACGATTGAACTTCAGCCTTCAGAAAGGAGAACTGATCAGAGAAGGTGGTGTGCTGCCTCGGGGCCAGCTTACAATCCCTGTCCTTAATAGGTCTTGCCAGCTGCGTGCAGCTGGACAGGCAAGCTGCCAGCGGCTGCTCTGCACGGAGTGAACTTTACACCCTGAACAACTGTCGGGGATGCAAAGTCACCCTGGGGTGGGATTTCGCAGGCCAGGGCAAGCAGAACACCCTCCCCAAGGACCACACGGACCCACAGCTTACGAGGGCAGCCTCAGGTTGAGCACTCCCAGGTCACAAGCACAATGCTGGGGGTCTCCTCCCCCGTGCTCCCAAGCACAGCAGCCCACTGCCTGCTGACCTCCCAGCTCTCTCCACACCCAAGGACCCCACTAGGCCATGGGAGGGAAGGCAGGAATCCTCACGATACACAGACCATACATTACTCAAACCAAACCACCCGCTGGCATCTGTGCTCGTGGCCGCAAACACAGAGGAGTCACCTCCCCGAGATCAACCCCACCCCACACGAGGGAGCACAGTCCTCTGCAGCGGAGGGGGCAAAGGTGCCTGCCAATGCCCGAGGGGAAATCTCATTATCAGAAGCACCTACACGTTCCTGCCTTTGCTCTCCCGGACGGAGAGCACAGGGCTGCAGACCCTGCCTCGACACTGGGAGCAGCAGGGGAGGAGGAGGGAGGCTGCTCACCATCATGGTCACGCAGGTCCCAGAGAACTCATCAAGTTTCCTCTCCCGATTCGGACGCAAAACACGCCCATCGCTAGAAGAGCTGTCATGACTTGTCTTTGGCAGCACATAAGAGAAATCGGGGAACCTCGGGCAAACTGAGTCACACTTGGATCTGAGACAGGGGTTTTGCCACTCGTCATACCAGGATAAGCTGGTCACCCCCCCCCCCCACACCGGGCCTACC